AAAAAAAAAAAAAAAAAAAAAGAGTTTGAGACCAGCCTGAGCAAAGCAATACCCTAATTCTACTAAAAATAGAAAAAAATAGCTGGACATTGTGGTGCAACCAGCCTGAGCAAGAGAGAGATCCTATAGCACAAAGTGGGTGGCTTAGAACAACAGAAATTTATTGTCTCACAGCTATGAAGGCTAGAAGTCAGAAGTAGGCTGTTGGTGGGACCATGCTCCCTCTAAAGGTGCTAGGGAAGAACCCAGCCTTGCTTCTCCCCATATCCAGGAGCCCCAGAAGGTTGTTTCCCTGATTGTGGCAGCATTACTCACACGGCATTCTCCCTGATCGTGGCAGCATTACTCACACGGCATTCTCCCTGATCGTGGCAGCATTAACTCACACGGCATTCTCCCTGATCGTGGCAGCATTACTCACGCGGCATCCTCCCTGATCGTGGCAGCATTACTCACGCGGCATCCTCCCTGATTGTGGCAGCATTACTCACGCGGCATGCTCCCTGATCGTGGCAGCATTACTCACGCGGCATGCTCCCTGATCATGGCAGCATCACTCACACGGCATTCTCCCTGATTGTGGCAGCATCACTCACGCGGCATTCTCCCTGATCGTGGCAGCATTAACTCACACGGCATTCTCCCTGATCGTGGCAGCATTAACTCACACGGCATTCTCCCTGATCGTGGCAGCATTAACTCACACGGCATTCTCCCTGATTGTGGCAGCATTACTCACACGGCATCCTCTCTGTGTCACTTTACACCATCTTTCCTCTGTGCCTGTCTGTCTCTGTGTCCAGATTTCCCATTTTCAAAAGGACACCAGTCATACTGGATTAGGGCCAACCCTACCGACCTCATTTGAACTTGATTACCTCTCTAAAGACCTTCTTTCTGAATAAGTCACGTTCTGAGGCACAAGGAGTTAGAAGTATGGGAGAGATCTTTGTGGTGATGGCTTATTTCTACATCTTGAGGGCTATGATAGTTACATAATCTACACATAATGGCATAGAACTATACAAACGTGTTGGATCAATACTAGTGTCTTGATTTGGAAACACATAACAACTGAAGAAAGTGGGTGAAGGATACATGGGACCTCTCTGTACTGTCTTTGCAACTCCTTGTAAATCTATGTTTTAAAATAAAAGCATAATATATGTACATGCATATGGATATACTCACACTAAAACATATAAATACGCATTTTCAGAAGACAAAAAGAAGATTCTACAAACTTTGAGAGAGATAAAAAAACATGCCACATATAAAGGTTCAAGGAAGAACCTAGGGTGGTGCCCGTGGCGCAAGGAGTAGAGCACCGGCCTCATATGCTGGAGTTGGCAGGTTCAAACCTAGCCCCGGCCAAAAACTGCAACAAAAAAAAAAAAAGAAAGAAAGAACCTAAAAGATAATGGAACAATGCCTTCAAAAGTCTGAAGGAAAATTATTTTTAACCTAGAATTCTATACCCAGCCAAACTATCAATCTAGATTAAAGATATTTTCAGACATACGAGATCTCAAAGACAAATTATCCAGATGAGGTGGCATGTGCCTGTAGTCCCAGCTGCTTAGGAGGCTGAGGTGGGAGGATCGTTTGGTCCCAGGAGTTTGAGGTTGTAATAAACTGTGATTGAGCTACTGCACTCCAGCCTGGGTGACAAAGCAAGACCGATAGATAGATAGATAGATAGATAGATAGATAGATAGATAGATAGATAGACAGACAAATTCATTAAACAAAATATCTCAAAAACAAATCTTCCATTGACCTTTTCTCAGGAAGCTACTGGAGGATATGCTCCATCCAAACCAGAGAGCAAAAGAAGAGGAAAACATAGAGTCCAGGAGACAGGGCTCCAACCAAGAGAGGGAAGAGGGACTCCTAGGATGAAGAGCAGGGCTGAGCCTGTCCGGCTCACCATGAGTAAGCACCCCACTGAGCGCTGGTGCTGTAACAGGGAAGCCCAGGGACTTCTAAAGAGGGGCTAATGATCCGCATTTGAAGAGCACCTGTGGTGTAGTAAGAGACCTTGAACTTCCAGCAACCTAATCTCTTTCATGTCTCTCTATGTCTATGGGATCCTAGATTGCAAAATGCAGAAGATAATCACATTTCTCACATGGAGCCACTGGGTGGTCTAGAGACGCACGTGATGGGCATGTGGGTAGGAAGGGGAAGAACTCTGAACTTGGTTCACCCAGCACATTCTTACCTGGAGCTCCTGAATGGGCACAGGCTGTGACGGAAGGCAGGAGGCACACTTGATCCTTATGATCAGGGGGTTCAAGTCCTGCCTTTGCTCCTCGGTCATGATAGGGGTATCTGTCTTTAAAGTCAAAAGGCAATCTAAAATGTTGGCAGTCTTCTCACTGCCACGGCTCACAACAAGTTGCTCTCCTGGGAGGAAACACACAGCGTTAGACCTTCACTCATCACAGCCCCAAGAAGAGCACAGAGGGATGGCGCCATCAGAGAGCAGCCCATGATGAAACCACAGCTGAAATGGGGACACTGAAAAGCAAAGGGAGAGAAAGAGAATCGAGGAACGCCCACAGGTAGTGCAACACGTGCCAGGCCACCAATCAGGAGTCCTACAGACTCCCTAAAAGAACTGAATTTTACAACTTAATCTTGATGACCGTCTTTTAAGAATACAAGCATTTTCTTAATCACCTAGGGTACAACAAGACAATCTGATTCGATTAGTCTGTGGTGTGGCCATATGCAGCAATGTGAATTTAAACCAATAAAATTAAATAAAATTTAAGAACTGTTCCTTCTCCACTGTAGCCACATCACAAATGTCCGGTAGCCCTGTATGGCTGTGGGCTCCTGCACAGGACAACAGAGGTCCTCACCATCACTGCAGGAAGCGCTGCGGGACTGAGATGCTCCAGGCAACTCTTTCAGAGCAGGACACTGTCAAGGACAGATAATCCAGTGTGCACACTTGGTGCCTGGTGGAGTTGCTTTAACTGCAGTGGTCTGATGAGAAAAGCACAGCTGGCACATCTGAGCCAAATACAAGCATGCACACCTTTCACTGGGGTGTTTTGCAATGGTACATCTGGAGAAAAGGGTGGGTGAACTGCGCCGCTGAAAGGCAGGCAGGTAACTGTGAGAATGCCTTTCCTATAAAGAGGGTCAACTGGGGTAGTCAAAAAAAAAAGTTAAGTTTTGGAGGCGAGATTGACTTGGGTTTGAATCTCAGATCTGAATCTTCGTCCTGTGACGGAGTCTCTGTGCCCTCAATTTTCTCATCTGCGACATGGAATTAGATACCCCCTTTCTAAGGGTTAAGAGGATGAAGAGAGATTATTTATGTGAAGGTCCCAAGGACCCTGCCTAGCACAAAGTACGTGTGCTCAAAAGATCAGACTATTCTTTTCAAAATACTTGTTAATATATTTCTAGGGTACATGAAAGCCAAGTTGCTCATGCTCAGAAAAGAAAGCTACTTGTACAAGAGGGAGGCCAGGTGTGCGTCTCTCTGCGGGACGCCCTCACAGCTCCTCAGGACGCTCTTCCATAAAGATGGTTCATGAAAGCTACAAGTAATTCTGATCTGTGTTCCTTGTGATTTATGTTCTGTAGCTTTGTAAGCCTTTTCATAAAAAAGACTGCCCAAGGTAGAAGAAATCCCCGGTGTAAAGAAAAATGCTCAAATCATCAGAGTCAGGGAGGGATCCACCCTGACTCCAGGGCAGCATCCTCAGCCTCCACACTGGAGACATTTGGGGCACATCATTCTTCATTGAGGATACCCTCTTGCACATTGTGGGATGCTTAGCAGCACCCCACTAGATGCCAATAGCACCATACTTTCAGTAGTGATGACCAAAAATGCCTCCATACACTGCCAAGCATCCCCAGGGGGACATAACTTCTGCGAGTTGAGGACCCCTGTTCCAGAGTAAGTGAAACCACGAGAGGAAATGTTTGTGCTCCTACAACAGCCAGTCCTGACATGCATTAATGTCATTTAATCCTTTGAACCATCTTGCAACTCTACAGCTGGGGAGGCTGAGGCCCAGAGATGTTACATAATCATCTGAAGTCTCTTGGCTAGTGAGTTGTAGAATCAGTATCCAAACCAGTTCTGCTTGGCTAAGTGGGTGGGGCCCCTTTGCTATGCAATACTGTCTCGTTTTTTGGGTTTCTTTTCTTTCTTTCTTTCTTTTTTCATGCTTCCTGCCCTCATTTTTTTTTTTT